TATCAGTCCATGTACAGTTCATGTAACACAACTGCATTGCATGGTGCTGTTGCCACTCTCAAGGTTCTAGGGAGTCTATACTCGAGTGCGCGTAGCGAGAGTTGAAAAGAACAGAGACGCCCGCTTGCCTGTCTACTGTACACTGTAGTGAGGTAGTTCACGCTCGGGCCAATCTAAGGGGGGGGGTGTGCTTGCTCGGGGCCGAAAAAGAAGAGGGGGGGCTTCTTGTTCTGGGCCGAACTAGAAGGGGGAGGGGCGGTTCTTGTTTTGGCTGAGCAAGAACCTCCCCCAGCCCGCTGTCGGCGCTATATCTGGAACTTTCAATTAACAGCTCAAGCTAAACATCAGTGCGAGAGTAGGATGTACAATCATGTAAGTGCTCTTTCAAGCACAATCTTAGCTTGCTGGCTGCCAATTGAAACGGTAACCGCCCTGAGAGCCAGAACAGACCAACACCCAAATCCAGAAGCCTCAAACTTGAACACTTGCAACAGAGATTCGCAAAGTGGGGCGCCAAGGCGGTCAGCACGTTTGCAAGCATCCGCCTGCGACATCGTTGGACTTTGTGGAGGCTCAACTTAAAACAACGGATGTACATGTTTGGCACGTGTCCATCGATGCGGTTTGGTCTACACAAGGCTGAGATTGTAGCTCAGCTGCTCCGTCTAACCGGGCGCACCTTTCGTAGACGTTGAGCTCCTGCAGGGTGACTGGTTTGGGGCAAGGAGACTAGGGGAACATGTGTTGAGATATGTTGAACTGATTGGCTGAGTCTTGCTGAAAATTGATCAAGGCCCTGGGGAGCACAACTGAGCTGCATTCAGAACCTGGGTCCCTACGCAGCATGTTTGCGGGGGCAATTTTGCCGTTATCAAACCCGGACGAAGGCCCCGAGTTGGTCAGCGCTGAACTTCGACCCTCCTGCTACCCGGACCTGATGTCTCTGTCCACAGCTACTCCGGCCATGCCTCCCCTGAACTACTATCGCATCTTTAAAGCCTTTGAAGTCAAGTTCCCCGCCCCTCCGTTTATGCAGTCGCGCTGTTCCGTCCTCGATGGCCTTATCGATCAGGTTGCTGTCAGATTCCTGCCAAACGCTTGCTGCATCTTACGTCTTCCAAGGACGCGAAATAAGGAACCCCTCAATGGAAACCATGCCAATCGTATCGCTATGACAGACATGAGCGATGAGCACCACGGCAACACAATGCCAATGCCTATCGAGATTTGCTCGTGAATCTCACAAAAGGCGGCTTCGGCCGCGCGTGCATAAGGTTGCTGCTGC